CCCCAAAACCCCAAAACCCCAAAACCCCAAAACCCCGAAGGTGAAAGGGAAGATTGAAACTAGCATATAACTTTAGTGCAAGAGAGGTTATGGAGTTTCAGGATTCTGTAGGCTTCTGAAGCAGGAATTTCACAGAAGTTCAGACAGAGAGTTGAGAGGGTGAGTTTTAGGTCGTCAGAAGTGCCTAGGGAATGGATTAGAGTTGAGAATTGTTCAGGGTTGGTTTTCCAGTCGTTGTTTGATTTCTGTCCTCAACGGGAGAGGTCTATCTTTTGAATTTTTGTTCCTTTGAGTACTTTTGAAAAATCAATGATGTTTTTGATTGAGAGCTTGCAAGAAACCAGTCTGATAGCCAGAACATGTCTTGAAGAGACCATCAGTTTCTTTAATTGAAGCTCATTTATTACCAATCTGCTGAAGAACACCTTCTTTATAATTCTCGAGTTAATTCTGCTAAATGAATTCCAGCATTTAGAGAACTTTATGATATTTTTATATTCTCCTACAAATGAAAATTCATTTGTCTTGCTAGGAAATGAAGAATTTAAGAACTTCGTGATATTCTTATTTTCATCTGAGGTTTTATCTAAAACTACAGCATTTGTATCGAACAGCTTTATTGACTTTAGCTTCCTTAAAAAATTCATATCTTGAGATTTGTTGAAAAATAATCTGAATTTATCACAATGTTGTTCAAAACCATAGACCAATGGCTTCGCACATGCTTCATAATAATGAGTATCTTCATATGCATCTTTGCAGATTTTATAATCGAACTCTCTGGTTTGTATCAAAAGAGACATCTCTAGGCTAAATTATTAGTTACTTATGAAAAATGAAACAAGAAAACTATTTTTGTATATTTTGGGACATTTATCAGGCTTAAAGAGGATCAATAAATTCATTTGAAGAGAGAAATTTCGAGTCATCAGATTTATCTCTGGTAATCAATGATTTACTATCTTTTAGGAGAGAGTAATCTATTCTAACTTTGAGCTCTTCTCCTTTTTTATATTGATAATCTGCACCCATAAAACATAAGACATATAATAACTTGTTTAGCAATTATAAAACATTTACAAATAAATGGCTACAAATCTAAAAGAGGATGCCTAAAAAACCCAAAATTTTGGGTAAGCAAGATCTCTTTAAAAAATATAAACCTGACTTAGCATTTGATCAAATTTAGTCAGCATTTAAAGCTATAAAGCTTTAAGATAGCATAAAAATTAGCTGGAGAGGGTATTTATCAAACATATACTATTGTGTTAATATGGATTTTCAAAAATTTCTGAGGAAAACCTCCATTCCACTCAAACACTAACTATAACCCCACAGTGTCTCCAAATCTCCCAATTCCACCCCTTCCTTACACCCCAGCTTCTCCCAATCCCTCACTAAACCCTTATCCACCCAAAACCCCCACTTCAAACCCTCAAAATCTTCCTAAACATCCTGCCCCAACTCCAGAGTTCCAAAGTCCCAAGACTAGCCCTCAGCCAGCTGCTTTCCTGTAGGCTCCCTTCCTGCCCGAGTCAAGAATTAGCCTACCTCTTTTTCTTATGTGACTTGCCGGCTGGCACTGAAGATTCCATTGGAAATTTTGAAATAATTATATTAGCAGTGGGGTTTTGGGGTTTTGGGGTTTTGGGG